ATGACCCAAAGCATAAAGTAGTGATCCCGAAGAATGCTGGATGAGCCAAGATGAGCTCTGGGTAAATAAGAACTCACTTAAGAAGCTTCCTGCAGGCATCACAAAACACTCCTGGGGCTCTTAAAAGCCACGCAATAACTATCTATAGACCATACCTTGGCCCATCACTAATGCAGCACAGCTCTCCCTAAGGGCCCATTCCCATGCATGCTACCTTTAACTGCTTTGTAATGATCTCAGAAATGGGAAGAATTTTTCCCTTGAGAAATCTTAAACCCACTTTGAAAACTGGATTTTCAAAGGGAAGTTTACTGGCATGTTAGTCTATATGTGTCACTTCTCACCATTTCCCCCTTTTTTCTAAGCTAATTTTAATCAGTATCACTTTGAAAGCAGAAGAAAAGGACTGTATATTTGGATGACAAAGTATCTACTTTCAGGTTCTGTTAGTGTGTGTGTGTGTGTGTGTGTGTGTGTGTGTGTGTGTTAATTTTTTTCTTTTTAAGAGCACAACCAAAGACAAAAATGTTCACTGTGGCAAGGTTTCATATTTAACAAGAAATTCAGAGGCTGAGTCAGTACTGAAACCCACGTGATCTAGAAAAGAAGGAATAATTGTTGTAGGACTTCCCCTGTAGTTGGGAAATGTTCTTTTCCCTTCAAAACCCAAGGCTACCTTGGGACCAGTATGATATCATGCTGGCTCAGTACACTAAGGCAGAAAACCCATTTACCTGGGTCACTTACCTTCAGAGATTCCACTCCTTAGTTCAACAAATCCCTGTGTTAACTTCCTAGTTAAAATGCTCCCTAACTGAACACTGAAGGAAGCAGAGATCCTGACAGAGACATGCTACTTTTCAAGAAAAGGGACTCCCCCCCCATTAACAGAATACCCCAATAGATGCCAGAACGCTAAATGCCTCTTCACATTCAGAACCTAAACCTCTTGAAATATTGTGTGACACCACAGTTTAATATCATATGAAGGTTAAAAAGATTGAACAGGAAAATCTGACATCTGGCTCCTTCCACCCACCTATCCCTTTCACATCTTTCCCAGAAACTAGTTTTCCAGAGAAATAAAATTCTGTCACACTTCAAATAAAAGGGGCATTTTCAGCCCATTGAGGGCCCTCAAGTGGTTCCAACAGGCAAGCTAGGATAGTTATTTTATAACCCATCTGCCAACTGCCTTACCAGTGAACCAAATTAAATGACAAAGTATTAGGAAGAAAAGAGATTTCCTATAAGCATCAATGACGGAGCGAAACCACCTAGGAAAAGTACTGAAGTGAGACGGAGGCTCTAACGCCAAAGAAAATCAATGCTAGATATTCCATTTCAAAGAGAACGATTCTAAACTGGAGAAACAAGTGGGGAACGGGAAAAGCAGGCCACGGCAGCCACATTCCATTGGAAGCAGGCCACAGAAGCCTGCACCAGCTGGCAACCACGACTGGTATTTTAGATGCCTTTAGACATGGCTGTTGGCCACTGACAGGTGGGAAGCATTTCACTAGAAACATACCTGAGTCAGTCAGGGGTTCCAGTAAGCAGACAAGACGTGTCTGCCAAGGTCTGCGGCAAAAAAAGGGGCAGGACCCAAAGCCTAGTCAGGAGGTCCCATAACTATATGAGTTCCTGTTGTCCAAACCCTGCACAGATTCTGAGATGACACTAATCCTGCTAGAACAACAAGGCAGACAGTGTCCCTGAAATCTTGCTTGAGAAAAATCCCATCGCCAAGAGCGTAATCTCCCTAAAGAGAAGATGGTGCTCTTTCTTCCAGTCTAGGAAGAAGCTTGGGTTTACTGGGGAAGGCAAGCTTCTGGTTTCCAGTGATTTGAGGGATTGGGAGATGGGAGAACAGAAGAGGCAATCATTTAAAAACTCAATCCCAGCTGTTTAAGCTAGCTGTGCAATTAGTCATTTACCTCAGTGAGCAAGGGGGGACTTCTGCTGGGGACTAACATTGCCGTAGGTTTACCTAGCGCCTTGATAAAGACCTCCAGGGCATTTCACATCTCAGGCTTTCCTTCTGAGCCTTCTAGAGGGAGTTCAGGTTGGGGCTAGCAAGCTTTGTACAAGGCTGATACAACCCACAAAGGAGTCACTGCTAGCATTAAGTGCTGCTCTCTAATATTCAGATCCTGACTAATACAAGGGCCAGCCTTTTGGATATGGGTGAGGAGCAGGATGGGAGAAAATCCAGGCTGATCAGTGCTGACAAAAGGCACAATGCATAAAGGGCACAAAGGACCCCTTGTGCCCTCCCAGGGCAGAACCAGTGAGGAGCAGAAGCAGATGACAGCATGGACACACACAGGTCTTGTTTTCAGACAACTCTGCACTGGAAGTGGGGGAAGGGTCCAGGGGAAGAGCCTGACATGTCGGAGGAACCAGCTGGGAAGAATTTTTGGTCAGGGTCCTGAAAGGCAGTAATGAAATAGCCCTCACCTTGACCCTAGCAGCTCGCCTCCACGCATAATCTATCTGTTCAAAGAACAGCAAATCTTCCTAAGAGTGCAACTACTATCTTCATCTATGAAAGGTCAGAACACCATGCATTAGGGTCTGCAGCCACCTTCTAAACTTCCTTAAATCGACTTATTTTTAGAACCAGCTGGTATACTCTGTGCATTTGTTTTCACACTCAGTGAATAAGGAGACGCCGGGGGAACAAGGAATATTCCCTTGTCATCCTCAGTCTAATCTTCTGATTTTAACTGTTTTAATACGGAATAGAAGACACACTTACATCCTATGTTCCTACTGGGAAGACACAGGTTAACTGTGTAAGCTGCCCAGGTGAGCCTTTAGTCTATGGAGCTATGCTTGCCTGGCAGACATGTTGAATAACAGTAAAAACTCCAAACTTTGTCTCCAAATAATAAGGAACCCTAGAGTGCCTAACTCAAACTGGACCCCTGCTGTAGTTTGTAAAATGAGCCATGCCCAAAGAGAGGTGGGCATGTCCTTGCCTGGTTTTTAGACTGCTTCTTTTCTTACTAGGCCTATCTGGCACACCACCCCCACCACATTCAACTTCCCAAGATTCATTCAGAGCTAGAAAGCCAATGCTTATCTCAGGACCCAGGTTTGGCAAAGTCAAAGTGCCAGGGGAAAAAAATGTGCTTGTACTGCCTTCACATTCTGTGTAAGAGGCTGCAAAATCTTAGAGCTGGGAAAGTCCTTGAAGGTCATCATCATCTGGTCTCACCTTCTACAGTGTGGACTTGGGTAAGTACTTGGCATCCCCACAATCCAATACCTTTTCGACTTCATGAGATTCACTTGCAGGAATTGTAAACTGAACCTCTATTTCAATTGAAATCGAAAATTAGAGGGACTAGAAGCAAAGATCCTTTAGGTCCCATATCTAGAGTTTTATGTCACACTCTGGGTACCATGTTGGAGGAAGGACAGTGACAAACTGAAACAGGTAAAGGAAGGGCCACCAGGACAGTGAGGGGCCTGGAAACCAGCTGAAAGAATGAGGAATGTTTAGCCTGGAGAGGACTCTGAGAGATGTGAGAGCTGACCTTGATAACCATTCCAAGGACTGTTGTACAGAAGGAGGCTTACACTGGTCCTGCTAAGTCCCCGAAGGGAAGAACCAGCAACAATGAGTAGAAATTAGAGACAGATTTCCTAATGACGAGAACTGGCTAAAAGGGCAAAGGCCTTGGGAATTAGTGGGCTCTTAATCACCAGAGATCTTAAGCAGAGGGTCGATGACCACTTGTCGAGTACAGGAGGATTCCTGCACAGGTAGGTTGGACGAGGCGGCCTCAGAGATCCCGTGATCCTGTGAGGGGTGTGCCCCGTGGGGCTGTTAACCACACATACCTGACCTGCCTTCCCTGCTTCATCATCTATCAAAAGGGCATTAGACACTCAGCCATGAAAACACTACAGCTGAGGAATTATTGAATGTTTGTTGCACCCCCAGCAGTTCAAGGAACTTTGCAATCTGATTCGTGTAAAGGGAACGTGGCAAAGTGCACATAATCGCAAACTTAGGAGACACCAGACACGTCTGTCAGCGAGCGGCCAACGGGGCTGGAAGCACGGGACCTGTAACTGATGGCCGCCAGCATCACCATCGCCTCAAGGACCATACTGCAAAACCTACTGTACTATCATCCCTTTCACACATAGGACCTCTGTTGCTTACAAATGTCTCCATGTTGTTTTCTTCAAAAAGGGCCATTACAGTTTGAGAATGGTTTGCATCACCAGCTCTAAAAAGTGCATTGGTAAATAAAATACAGGTCTGAACATTTCTTTACCTTTCTCCTTCCACAAAAACTTCAGGGGTGAACCACAAAGCAGAACCCAATTAAGCTAAACTGCATTAAATGTATGCTTGTTTAATCAAATTACAGTGGAAATATACCTGTGACATATAGAGCCAATCACTTAAGCTACTCTTGTGACATAGCCCATGGAAAAATGCTATCGATCTAGTTTATTCAGTCATTTTTAAAAGGTCTCAATTTATAACAGAAAGAGAACGGTATTCCCTTACATTCAGGATACTAATTGTCCCCTTACCACTTTCCTAAGCCATTGCCTCAAAAGGAACAAAAGGAGGAGGAAGCCATATCTGCAATATTCCTGAGACCCTTCTTCTAGACCCTACAGTCTTTCCCCCCTCAGGCTCTGATTCAGATTTTCAATGCAGGCCACGTTGTTTCCATGATGACCTGGTTGGGTTTGGTCTTTTCTGTTGTAAGAAAAATAAAAATCTCGAATCTGGAGTATCTGTGGTCTTAAAACCACAACGCTTTTCATGTAATCACTCTTTTAAATCAGTAGATTACCAATTAAGATGTTCAAAGACATCCTGGTTTTCAAGAACAAAGCATTCATCCCCCATTCATCTCATGCATCCCCTAACTGAGAAAGCCCTGAGAGGAAAGACCCCTGCACCTTGCAGGAATCCTCTAGAGTTCAACAACATGGAGAAGAGTTTCTAGTTAACAAGGCCCAGGTCGGATTGGGAAGGTCTCCTAAGTGTTTATTATACATCTTTCTGTAAGAAAAGTCAGAGCAGACGTGTTACTTTGCGTGTTAAGCTGTCTATCTGATGCAGCACGTTGTAGCTTCAACACCCTTCTGAGATGGGAAGAGAGAATGGGGAGCCCCGGCCGCCTCCTCTTCTGATTCAGGTATACCCCTTTCTGAGGGATGCCTTCAGCAGCCTGGTAATCCAAGCACACTCCCCACAGGAAACTTGAAGCAGGCCTAGTCAAAGGGCCTGGGAGTGCACAAACACGAGAAGACACTAGGGATATGCAGCCCCATGGAGATGACATTGTGGTTTTAAGGGAAAAACAAAACAACCTAAAGCAAGCTCAACTGGGCTTAAAAACCATCATATGAACGAGAGGCGAATGTCAGTTGGCCGACCGCGGCTGGGCCTGAAGGGAAACCGGTCGCTGGGGGCCCCCTCGCCCTGGCAGGACAGGATTGGGCCCAGGAAACGGGCCCACTGGATCGAAATGGGGTCTGAATGGGGAGAACTGGCCGGGCGTTTCCCCAGGGCCAGGGATGAGTGAATTGATTGGGTCCCCAGCATAGGGAAGCACTGGTCTCTCATCAAACTCACCACCAATAATCCCTGGGGGATACATGGGGCTGGGCGGGAAGGGGCTGGGGTAGAAGGGACTGGGGTGGAATGGCATGGGGTGGGGCGGAGGGGGCAGGAACATGGGGTGCCTCCATCTCAGGGCATCTTTCCTCTGTTTTTGCTTCCTGTAGAGCTGAAGAAAAACATTGAAGTAGAGTAAGTGTGGGGGGACTGTTTTTCCTTCTACTAGTTTTCAAATTACAGATTCACCTACACTACTCTTTCCCAAGAGAAATCCCCTTTCTCTTCCTTCTTGCACAAGTCCAAGAGCCCTAAGTGTGGATCTAAATACAGTGTGATCAAATTCACAACCATTTCTGAAGAATGTGACTTCCTGCAGAAAGGAGCCCACGAGGCCTACAGTTAAGGCGTGTAGCCCAGACACCGTTAGGCTCTTTGTGAAGGTAGAAAGTCCATATGTGTACATACACACACACACCCACAAACGTGGGCACAAACACACACCTATATACACTATGCAGGTATATGTGCACATACAACACATGCACACACATGCACACACACACACAGCATATACATGCATCTACATGCCCACATGTGTACATGTACGTACACAGCAAATGCACGCGAATCCTAGGCCTGATCCCGTCTCCACTGCTTCAGCTTAGGTGAGGCCCTACAGGCAGCCCAGAAGCTGCTCCTCTCGACAATGGGCCCATCCCCTCCAACACTTTCATTTGTGATCATCTCATCATGGGCTGACCCCCTTCTGCTAACCCTTCTTCCCCACTCTGGACAACAGCCATCAAAGGGTATTTAGAGGCACCTACCTCTTTCCAGTCAGTGTCTCGAGGTCTGACGGCACAATCTACAAAGAGAGACAAATTTCTAAGTTAATTACCATGTTACCTCATTTGTCCAACATGATTAGGAGAGGGGATGTTTCATATAAGTAAAATTTATGAAGGACCACCCCCTCATTTTACACACCAAAACCTACATCCTTTTTTTTTTTTGGTGAGGCAATTGGGGTTAAGTGACTTGCCAAGGGTCATACAACTAGTAAGCGTTAAGTGTCTGAGGCCAGATATGAACTCAGGTCCTCCTGACTCCAAGGCCGGAGCTCTGTCCACAGTGCCCCCTAGCTGCTCCCCCCCTCATTTTCTTAAACAGAGCAGACTGAACCCAAGTGGGTCTCCTCTTCATGACTCTAGGCCTGATCACTCCACAGGGCTCCCTGAAGTGGGCAGGGCTGGGAGTGGTTACACGGACCAGCCCCAGATCATTTCTCTGTGACCTCCCCTTTCCTCCGCAAGTTCTTCTTAGCTCTGGGGTTCGCTGACCACCCCTTGGGACTGGCACCTCTTAAACTAAGCCTTGTGCTCTAAAAAGGAGCAGCTGTTGGGGCATTTTCTCGGCTTGGGGATGGAGGAGCCCCAGAGGTCTCACAACCTTGCCAAAGAGGCTCTGGGGATAATGTCAGTGTCATGAAACAAACATGGGAATCCTCCCACCTCCTTCCTGGAACAGCTAGCTCTCCTGCTCCCTTGTTCCTCAGGCTATTCATTAGGGAAGGGCACAGTCTCAGAAATGGCCCAACAGTGTCCTGCAGAGCCTGAGGGGAGCAGGGCCTCTGCCCCATTCGGGGAGCACCCCTGAAGTCATTCTTCTCCCCAGGGTTTGCTAAAGGCTGCTCGGAACCCTCAGAAGGCAGCTGGTGGGGGGAGTGAGCTCAAGGGGCCTGAAGACAAAGACTTGAAGAGGTTAACTGGCAGGAAGGCTGAGAACACACCAATGCTAGAAACCTGGAGCTGCCACCCAGGACCACATGATGGCCTCACACCACCTTTCTCTTCTCCCTCCAACTCATCCACTTGGGGGAGTCTGAGGGGTCCTGACCTGTCATGTCACCAGGGCCAGGAATTCCAAGCATGGGAACACCTTCCACTGAGGCAACTGACCACTCCTCTGTAACTTACCCACCTGCAGTCACACACCCAGCATAGGTCAAGGTTACAAAACCCTCAACCTCAGGGCCCCAAGTCTGGCCCCTAACCATTACCCTCCAATGCATCTCAAGCTTCCCACGCCTGAAAACTAATTTGCCCCAAGCCAAAGTTCAAAGTGGGCCCATAAAGGCAGGACTCTCTGAAGCAGACTGGGTTCATGGGGCATAGTATACCCCTTCTCCTCCATCCCATGCCTCCATCCCCACCCCAGATTCAGTCTCATGTGGCCAACGTGAGGGCAAAGAGCCTCTGAGTGCAGCAAGGCTGCATGCCCAGGCCTACTCTGACAGAAAGGCTAAGACTTAGGCCATATGGACCCTCTCTGGGAACTCAGTGTAGAACCCCCCCACCTTCTCCTTGGTCCCTCCCACCTCTCTCCCTGCCCCTCTCTCAAGTGCAGGATCACTGGCTTTAGAGTAGAAAGGGAGCGAGACCATCTCCTCTGACCTCTTCCATGCTACAGTGGAGCTAACGAGGGGGCAGAGAGAGCAGTCACTTGCCCATGGGCACAGAAAACAGAGTCTCTAACTCCAAATGTTGGGCTCTTTCAAAATCCCTGTTCCTTTGGGGCAAGGGAGGCTCAGCAAAATGGCAGAAGAAAAGCTGTCTGGCAAACTAATTCATACTAAAGTGTGATCATCACTTAAAATAAGTGTTTCCTAGCCAAATAAATGTCTAATTGGAAGCATTTCAGACTGCAGTAAGGAACAAGGGGAGGGAGAAGAGGATGTGGGGAAAGCCCAGATAAGCCAGTTCTGCTGGGCTGCTTTTTTCCACAGGGCTTGGTCCCATAAGCTTCCCGGGCCTCCCATGGCTTCTCCTCAGCTTTAAATGCTCCAAGTTTTTACAGGACAGCTTTCATGGCAGGATCAGGGCTATCATTTCTTAGCAAAGATTATTTGCACGGTGGGGATTTCCTGGTCTGGAAAGTGGGTTCTATTACTTCCTTCTTAGGGAAGCTGGCTGCAACATTCCTTTAAATAATGAGCCATATGTGTTTAGGGGAATATGGGAATTAGATGTGAAGTGGGAGCTCTCAGCACGTTTGCAAAGCAGCACAAAGGCCAGACTCTTTCTGGCCTAATTCATACTATTGGTTACAATCAATTAACTTTAAAACACTTTGAGGAAAACAGCTAAAGTATACTACGAAAAGCTCCTTGGCAAATCCTGCTCAATTAAGACTTCAAACGGAGATGAGGAAAACTAGGTCTCTTTTGTCATTAATTAGAACGCTCTGAAAATCACCTCGAAAATCCCGTAAGTACATAAATCTCCACAGAAGCTGGTCATTCGAAGCAATGAAAAGGTCCCGACAAACTGCAGACAGAGACAGGACTGAACGGACATCTAAGAGCCGGAAAATCCGAAGTTTTAATTCCAACGGAAGGACGACTAAACCAAACACATCGGGCAAGTTTAAAGCTAGAGAAGAGAAGAAAAATAAGTTACCGGTGCTGTGGCCCTGAGGCCTCCCAATGACCCCCCCCCCGCCCGCCCTCTAGAAGCGGGGCATTTGTGCCCCTTCGTGGCCCACGGCACACGTGGTGTCCCCGCACATTTCTGCCCAGAAGGGCTGGTCGGACATATGCTCAACAAATGCAAAGAAGGTAAGAAGCCACTACAACGTTCCTGAGCGGCCACAGGAGAATTCCTCAGGGAGTTCTCAACACTAGGGCTTGATGTGCCTCAGTCTCCAAACAGACTCGATTTGTAGCCTAGCTGCACCGAGACAGGCCTTCATTAATGGGGACGGCCTTAACAGGATTAGCTCCTGGGGAATTTCAAATTCTTAAAGGGACGCCAGAGGTCATTTTCATGAGATTTTTATTAGTAACAGAGAATTCATTCTCCCAGTTGAAGTCTTAACTGAATTTTTTAAAGTATACTTAGTTGTTTTCCTTAAAGTGTCTTAAAATTGGGTCATAACGGATAAGATGACTTGGCCTTTGACCAGTTTTGCAGACAGAGGTCGAGATCTGGTGCTCCCTCCCATGAGCCTCTGGGCCTTTCTAATGAAAAACGGGAAGGATGCAGAGGATGGAAACCTCCATCATACTGGGCTCTGAAATGGATCATCGAGGCTTTTCCCCTATAGATTTATTTCTCAGACCAAGGCCAGTAAAACCCGTTTGTTGTAAACTCAAGAAATTTTCCAGTTGGTTTTGTTGGGGGGGGTTTTTTGTTCAACTGATATCTGAACATGTTGCATATATTGGTTTTTAAAAAAAAAAAAAAAGGTCGTTGTCTACAATTTGGAGAGCCTATAATTCAGAACTGCTGATACAATGAAACAGAAATCAACAAAAGCAAAGCCAGAGTGTTGAAACTCTTTACACACTCATGTAAAGGTGAATGTGTGAACAAAGAAGGCATTCGGCATGAAAGCATAAGCAGACAGTTTCCTCCAGATGAGAGACAGAGGGCTGGCCCCCAGGGCTGCTGCCAACACACCCAAAACTGCAGGTCCATGGGGAAACAAGTGAACCTCTCTCTGGGCCCCAAGCCTCTCCAATTCGACCCCCCATAAAGCCTCCAGGAAGACGGTCTCCAGCACACTTTGTCCACAGCTCACTCATACCTAGTCCCTTGCATGATATCTCCCCCACAGATTGGGGGCCCTGGAGAGCAGGGCCAGTTTTCACCTTTCTCTGCACCTTCAGTGCTCAGCCCAGGGTCTGGCACAGAACAGATGCTTGATAAATATTCAGCGATTTGGCCTGACTGCACTAAAGACACTGCACACATATCCTATCATTCTAGACAGCAAACTCCATGGAGGAAAGACACACTTCGGTCTCTGCTGGCACCTCACAGCTTTGCACAGTCGCCTCCAAGGACCCAGATCTGGCAGGGCCCTGTGGGGGAAGATGAGGAGCCTGAGGCCCAGGGAAGGTCAATGACTCGCCCAAGGTGACCCAGCTAATCGACAGCAGAGGCAAGACTTACACTCATTCAATTTAACAAGGGGCAGCCCAGTCCGGGCCCAGTGAGTGAAGCAATGTCACCAGCGGAGGCCCCAGCATTTTGCTCTCACTCACCTTGTCGGGCAAAAGCCAGAAGAGGATAGACCAGCTGGTCTTTAAAAAGGCGGGACAGCTTCGGGAGGTCTCTGTATTTGCTGGCCACATTTTCCTCTGCTGAGACAAAAGACAGAGGAGTGTAAAGCCAAGCAAGCCAACATACTCTGAGAGGCAGCCAGTTAATTCAATGGCTTGACAAGTTGGCTCTTTTTTACAAACCAAATTTCTCATTAAAACCAACATCTGAAGTAATTCCTGAGAGCAAAGGGAGTAGAATCAAGCCTCTGTGATTGGGAGGACACAGCCTCCAGGTCTGAAAAGTGAAGAATGCAGCCCCATGGTGGCGGAGGCAGCGATCCACCCACTGCATAGTGCCAAGCAAGATTTCTTGTAGGCACATCATGGGTAAGAATCAGGAAACACACACAGCCCAGGCTCCTGGCATTACCAAAAACATTCATGACATTAAATCCAATGCAGAAGTGCAATATAAAGAACCTAGGAGTGGTGGTCTCTCATCCAAGTGTGAATTCACGATTTTCTAACATAGGCTGTGGAGGAAAATACAGTCTCACACTTCAAGATGTAGCTGGAGATTTCAAATTGGCCATAAATAACAGCACCATTCACATGGGAAGGACTATGCCAATTAAAGACTTATGAGACTGCCATCAATAACTAATGAGTTTGCATTGCAGTAAAAATCCATTATAAGGAGGGAAGAGGGAGAAAATTTAAAACTCAAAATCTTATGGAAGTGAATGTTGAAAACTAAAAATAAATTATTTTTAAAAATCCATTATAAAACATCTGTTGACAAAAAGAAAACAGCCTATATATAGACAGATTTTTAAAAATCACTTTTCAGAATTAAATGGTTTTCAGCTGAAACAGACTATGAATGAATATCCCATTATTCACCTTCCCTCTGTTCGCTATCGATACCCTTGTCCCTATTTAAAAGTAGTCAATAAGGTGTCCGATTGGCGAAGGTTCTGCAACAATGCAACAATGTTCAGTTCGGTCCCAGTTTAGGCTTGAAATATACCGAAATGACTCACAAATGCTGGTCTAGAGGCCAAGAGGCATAGAAATCCCCCCAGGGAAAAGAAAAGTTTCATACTGAAATCTGCCATTTTTTGATACGTACATAATTTCCACCTGCAATAATTTGGAAGGGAAAATATTACAGATTTCAAAATTCTCTCACAGAAGCCCTACCCACATCATGCACACCACCAGCATTTCAGGGGATACGTTAAGAGTCTCACAAGACTTTCACATAGGACAATGCTGTTTTCTACAGAGCCCCTGCCCTTCGATTTAGCCTAAGCCAATACTTACAGAAATGTCCTGATCCAAATCCAACCAACTGGAAGCATATTTGTGGCTTTATAAATTCAGCCCCATCGTTAAAATTCCATAAGAAACGCTGAAATTAGCTCATATGTTTAATGGCCCACCCAGCCCCAAAGCACCTCCAAACGCCGCTGGACACGTTCTGAACGGTCATGAGCAACGCCACCCTGTCAAATATCCACCTCCAGGTGAAGCTGAGACCCCACACCCAGCCAGCGCCCCCGACGGAGTAGGGTTAAGGCTAAGTGAGCCCGACTGGGCTCACATTCATGCCCTCCTCAGCAGGAGCACTGGTCAGGCTCTGCCAAGCATACCAATGCAAACCCTGGCAAAACTGGTATCCTTGGCAGCAACAGGTTTATGTGGACACAAAAAGCCCTGAGGATGTGTTCTTTCACTGTCTCCTCTTCGGCTTCTCACAATGGTAAAGCTGTATGTTGTTCTTTTCAGGGAACGTAAGTCTTACACTACACGGTTATCTTTCCACACTGTGGGGCTGAGGGGCACAACACCCCCACAAGCTGGAAAATCCACGTAAACGTTTCTGGCCCTCCCTCTGTACCAGAGAAGAAGTCTGCATTTGTTCTTTTTCTTTCACAGAGCACTTACAGTACCTTATTGTAAATTTGGGGTTGATATCATACAATACTATACATGTATTTTATGTATGTCTGAGTTTCTAAACTTTTCTGTGTCATCTGCTGGTCCTTGCAGGTCATCTGTAGCTTCCACAAAACTCCCCAAAAATGCCCACTTAATTTCTTATGCCAACCTGCAACATAGCAAAACTGCCATGGGGAAAGGATGACTATATGCCTACCTATTCAATAAACTCCAATGACTCCCCTGCCTCTAGAATCAACATAAACTCCTTCTGGCATTCAAAACTCTTCCCAACCTGACCCTTCCGTATCTCTGTGGGTTTCTCAGGCAGTCTTCCCACCCACACACACTGGCCTACTGGGTGCCCCTCCGACACACGCTCCATCTGCCATCCCCATGTCTTCACCCCAGCTGGCACCCGTACCTCTACTGCCGTCCCCCAGCACTTCTACCTCTCAGCATCACATGTATGCTTCAAGACTTGGCACAAGGGCCACCTTCTGTCAGCTCTTCCTGGTCCTCCCAACTGCTCATGCCTTCCCCTCTACAATCACTGAGTACTGACTTTGTATGTATCTTGTTTAGGCCTAAGTGTGGATGTGTTGTTCTCCTCTGATTGAGTATAAGCTCCCTGAGGGCAGGGCTGTTTCATTTTTGTCTTTGTATCCACAGTGCCCAGCACAGTGCCTGGCATACAGTTAATACTTGATAAATGGTTGCTTTTTTCACTGAACATTCTAGTAGAAAGAGTACAAAAACATGACACTGCTTCTCAAAAATGATTAAGCCCTAACCATTTTACAGCGATGTTCCAAATATTAAATAATTCAGTGCTCTTAAGAGACAGGGAAATAACATTTCTAATAACCTTTTTTTTTTAATTTGAAAAGTTTTATTCACAGAAACCAGGCAAAATAGGTCTTTTTAAAATCGAAAAAAAAATGCATGACCACAGGTAAAGATTTCTTTATCATGAATGCACTTCATCAAGGCCACTTGGGGTGAGAAGGGAGTGAACAAGGACAAGAAGAGGGAGTGGAGATCCCCTCATCAAACCCTTTTCATGCTTTTAGAAATCCAATGATATTTTCCTTCAATCTTTTTCTAAATCTAATTTATTTTTTCACTAATTTAGAAATATGTTTTATTCTTTCTTTTCCCAAACACCACGTACAATCACTTTCTGGGCTAATCCCAATGGCACAAAGCTTCATCCCAAGATCTTCAGTTTTCAAATGACTCATAAAGCTGAATTACCTTGTTCATGGGGGCAAATAAAAGACTCCGGCAGCAGCTGTAATCTTTTCACACTCCTAATTTCATTGTTGATTTTCAACGTAGCTGCAAAATTTAAAAAAAAAGTGAGATTATACTAGGCTCCTGTCTGCTTTCTGTTTTGGTTATGTCTTTCATTTCTTTGTTCACACTACACTCTTCTTAAATGGCACAAATTATACACAGTGAATTGTTGCAAACCATTAACCTGTTCCTTAACCAAGGAGCTACCAAGTTTAAATCTGCCCTCTCATGAAGTCTCTGTAAAACAGCATGATCAAATACAGCAAGAGTCTTTCTATGTATGCCTAGGAAGTCTAGCCAACAGCAGCTTGTTAGCAATTGAAACAAATGCAGCAAGGCTAAGGGGAGGGAGGCAGCTCAGTACAATGAAGTCATTGTTTCTAACAAGGTCACTAATAACTCGGTTTGTTTTTGACTTAACCTCTGGCAGTGAGTCCCAGAGCCTGCTCCTGAGATGAATACCACAGTGCTTCCCACCCTGCGGGCGAGTGATCAGCAGCCCTGCCCCTGCCCGAGGCCCCCTTCCAGTCACACACACACACAAAGGGACGTTTCATCACAGCCATGAAAGGCCCAGTGATGTGCTCCTGTGCCTGTGTGCAAGGAAGGAAGAACTGAGCACACATGCCTGCTTTTCAGAATTCGGAATCAGGCCTGAACTGTCTGCCTCCTGTGAAAGTCTGCAAGGGGCTGATAAGGACAAGGGCACAAGCTGTAGATGCCCAAATAGCAAAACGCATCTTTTCTTCCACATGAAGCCAATTCCTGCCTTCCAAATAGCAAATGGCCTCCAAGCGGTCAAAAACATCGGCCTGACACTGAGGACAGAGGGCTTGCAGCCTTCCCGAGAGGCACGTCACTGGCCCTCCATGACCCAGAAGGCCCCCTCAAAAGTAGCATGGGCAGGAGCCCAGACTTACCGGCCAGGTTGTCAGAATGCCTGTTCCCTGCAACTGTGAGATGCCGCTAATGCAATCAGGCCCAAAATTCAGATGACTGCTCGTAACGATGCAGATGGAATGTCCTGGTTTAACTTCCATCCCTACAATTACCTCCTAAGGCACCCCTCCCCCTTCCTAAGGGTAAGAAGGAGTTAAGGGCCTTCTATCACCAAACGACAGAACCTAAGAATTCTGAGTCAGGTCCAGGACTAGATGGCCTCTGAGCTCCCACTGGACTCTGAGAATCAGGGATACCCCGAATCTTTGGGCTGAGTAAGAACAATGCCATTGTTCACAGCACAGCCATTCCAATTCTGGCCTCCAAACTGGTTGGCAAAATAGAGAATCCCCCCAATGCCAAAAGCAAGGCTAGAGAAAGCTCTCCAAAGGAACAGTGGCTCTCCAGGTACTGTCCGCAGGCCACTAGTGGGTGGTGAAGGGCCTCGGGTATTTGCTGGGCTGCACCATAAAATGCCAGGGTGGTATTTCTTAGGCGCCGGCACCGAGGCCTGTCGAATTACCGTTTATGACGACAAGACTCCCCAGCGGCACACACGTGAGGGCAGCGGTGCCGTCTTCACAGAGAGGATGCGTATACTGCAACTTATAGACACCTCCCGATCGCCACTTCTCAGGCATGGACACGGCTTTTGCTTCAGTCCCCTAGGCCCAAAAGGAAGAGATCATAACAAAGAAGGGAGGTTACCAACAAACCAAGGAACACTTCAAGAAGCTTAGAGACTCCAGAAATAACCATCGTGGTCCCCATTTCCTCCCATCCCAGATCAGACTGTCCGCACTGTAAAAAATGAGGGGGAAAAAAATCCAAGACTTTAAATAAAATTTGCTTCAAATGCTCGTGAATAGATACAACAAAACCTTCTCCTCCGTTCCAGTGACACTTGGTCGTCTTGTTGTGGGTGAGAGAAATAGCACGCGAAACACAAGATTCTGGGAGTGGGGCAGGGGGAACAGTATGAAAAAGATGATGTCAGACATAAGAAAAAACAAGAAGTGTGGCTCTTCAATTTACACTCTGACATGAAGCCTTTGCTTTTAAACAACTCCACACAGTGCCAGAGGACCGAGAGCCAGAAGGGCCCTTTGAAAAACGAGTTTTCAAAGAGGCCCAAGGAAGTGAGGCGGCCTCCCTGTGGGAGAAGGAAGCAGAGGGGCCACGTCGGACCCCACACTCACTCACTCCAAGTTCAACGCTTCCCCTGCACTCGACAGGTCTCTGTACAGCCACCACAGAGAAAACAGAAGAGCTGCACCTATCCATGCTAGCACAGCTTTCACCGGGGACCTGCCACTCTGAGCTGGCAGCAGGACTCCCCCGGACGCCAGTATTCTGGGCAGCAGACTGATGGATGTGACTGCGGCTGCTGCGGCTCGACTGCGATGCAAGGTGACTCCCTCAACTTACCATGCAGCCGTGGCCCTCTTGCTTCTCACATCACTACCCCCCAGCCAGCATCAAGTAGGGCCAGAAGATACAGCCACATACGAGGAAGAGGTGGGAAGGAGACAGCAGAGGAAGAACAAAGAGGAAGGAAGCACATGGACAAAAGAAGACACAATGACTCCTGGGTCTCCAAAGTCTGAGCACAGAGAGGAGGTGCGAAGCCTCCAGCCTTCCTTGCTCTGCTAGGTAAAGGCCCCCCAAGTCCTGGCAGGGAGGAAGATGATGGCAGCTCTGCTGACCCTTCTCTACACTTAACGAGCTGGAGGGTGGATGGGGAGTGGGGCTTCCTGCCCCTTCCTGCCACTGTCTCCAGAGTCTTCCCTGAAAGAGAAGTTCCTCTTCACCACTTTCCCAGTCCCCTCGGTGAACATATACACACACACACACACACACAGCCCATCTGCAATCCTTCCACCACATTCACCCTGAGCCTCCTAACCAAACCCTGCTCAGGGAGGAGGAAAAAGCTAGCCTGGGCAGCGACCGCAAGCCCTTGCTAACACTTCCACAATACACCAGTGTCCTAAAATGCTTGTTAGGAGACAGTCTGACTTCTCAGTTTACTGTTCATTTCACAGATCAGAGAGAGTCAGAGGCAAAACAGAAGATCCATGACCTCACAAAATCCTATCACTTTGGAGAGGAGTCAAGTGAGGCCCAGAGTGGGGCAGTAATTTGCCCCAAGCCCATCACACCATGAGCTGGGGACCAGGGGCACAGCCAACCCAAACCCCAGGCCTAGGGCTCTCCTGCAGGACTTACCAAGGGGGTGTAGCCGGACTCCAGCATCAAAAGGTGAACCAGAACAATCAAGGCATCATTGGCACTACTGCATTCAGCCGCGTGGTACAGTGTCTCCAAGGAATGGGGCACCTGCCCATCCACGGCTTCACTGCACAGCATTGGCTCCGTGGGATAGGACCCTGTACCCTCTTCCATATCCACATCCTCTTGAATTAACCCAGAATCAAAATCTAGACTAGATCCTGGCTGAAAGAGAAAAGAACGTGAGCCACCCTAAATGTCGCCCCATCCTCACTCCCACACTTGGCTGCCAGCCCCAGCACAGAGATCTGAAGGGGAAGATGCTGGGAGGAGGGTTCATTCACCACAATTCGGACAGTCACACTGGCCAGTCCTCAGCCCTGGGCAGGTCTGAGAGCACTTTCAAAGACTCTCAGAGACTCAAGGAGATACCCGGTCCTTTGACATGCTCTCCCAATCAATGCTTCCTAACTGACTGACCCCTCCCCTAAGTGCCACCCAGTGTTCCTGGCTCTACCTCATGGGGCCAAAGAGAACACAACGGCCCCTTCCCTCACCAAGGCCAACCCTGCACGTGCCCCACGGATCCCAGGAGCCCACCCCATTCTCACCATTCTTAAAAGATTCTCACATGACTCTTCCACCCTTCACACTATCATCCTGTATCTCTCCCTTTTCACAACCAAACTCCTAGAAGAAGGCACAGCCTGGTTTCCCTCCCATTCACGTCAAATCCCTTGTAATCTGGTGTCCCTCTCCATCCTCAACCCTGTCCAAAAGATCAGAGCGCAGCCTCTGCAGTGAAGGGGGTCAAGGTCTGGAGAGGTCAACAGCATGAAAAGGTTCATGGGGGCAACAGAGAAGAGGTCACACAGAGGCCTCTGACTGATAACCACTGTGCATTCTTTACATCAAAACACACGTTTGTTTCTAACATTTTCATCCACTATTTGGATGAAGGCATCACTGAAACGCTTCTCAAATTAGCAGAAGATATGATATTGACCAGGGGAGACGACACGTTGTGTGATGACAAAATTAGGATCCAACTTGATGGGTTGAGATGTTAGGCTACAGCTAACAAGACAGAATTTAAAAAAAAATAAATGTGATGCTGTCTACATTCCAAAAAAGTATAACCGCAGGATGGGAGTGAAAAAGGCCTCTGGGTTTTAGTAGACTACAGGTTCAATTAGGAGCCAACTAATGGGAGGGACTGGTAGGCTGCCCTACAAGAAGAGCCTTGAGAACACAGGAGATCTTCCTGCAAGACCCTCAGCTGTGCCAATTCTCAGCTTTGCATTTTAGAAGAGGCAGCCACACCCAAAAAGAGGAGGTGACCAGCAGCCCTGAAGAGAATTGGGCCAAGTAACTGCAGATCAGCCCTGGGCATGACAAGAGGAAAGTGGTATTCCAACATGTGAAGATGTCTTGTGGGGGAAGGATGAGCGCTGTCTGCTTGGCCTCAGAGGGCACTACTGGGACCAACCCTTGAGGAGACCCTCTTGATGACCTGACCCTCCTCTGCTGATCTTTCTGTAAATTGTCTAGAGAACACAGAAAAGGAGGAAAGAAGAGAAAGAAGGCTTGAGTGGCAGAACTCGGCAACCCTTTGAGGAGTTCAAGTCCAGGATCATAACACAGGCAGAACAGAGAGCTTTGGTTCTGACTCTGTGCAGGGCAGGACGGCAAAACTGAAACAAGCCTGGCCCAAAGAGCTTACCTTCTCCCGGGGAAAGAGAATAGCTACAAAGTTCAGTAAATACCAGGAGGTATGAGGATGGAAAAAGCAACTTGGGGTATCAAAAAAAGCTTCATACAAGAAGGGGCCCTGCCCAGTCATGGAAGTAGCTAAAATCTGAAGAGGAGGAGAGGAGGGGGAGCATTCCAGCGGGAGGCAGACCGCCAATCTGGGGAATCGACAAGTAGACAACTTTGGCTAGACTGGAGAGGGTGTGAAAGAGAGAAATAAAATTAAGTCTGAAAAGGGAGCCTGGGGCCAGGTTGGAATGCTATGAAATCCATCCTAAAGTCCACAGGGAGTGAATGAAGATGTTTGAGAAGGAGAAGAACACAAGGGCAACTATATAAAAGATAAGTTGGTTCCCTAGGAGAGGGAGGCAAAAACAGAGGAGGGTTGATGACCTATGAAGCAGGGGCATCACTGAGGAGGCAATTACAATCATCCAGGACCACAGGTGATAAGGGCCCAAATCAGGACAGTGGCCATGTAGATAAGGAGAAGGGGGCAGATGCAAAGGCCATATGGGGGACGAACTAACGAGAGAAGGAAAATGGGGAAGGGGAGGAGGGAGAAGAAAGAGTCCAGGATAATTCTGAGGCTGCAAAGCTGCAGGACTAGAATGATGGTGGTACTTTCCACAGAAACAGGAAAGGTGAGAAGAAAAGGCAGGTGGGAAGGGAGGAGGAACTGAGCATGTTAAATCTGACGTGCAGATGGAGCCACCTGCCAAGCAGCGAGTGACGTCAGGCCAGAGGGCAGGGAAGAAACAAGGGCTGGGTGGAAAGAGATGGAACAGAACCTCTAGAAGTGGATCTGGCAAGGAATGAGCAGTGAAAGAAAAGAGGGCAAGGGATTCAAAGGCCGAGGGGGGAGTTCCCGCAATAGCACATGGCAGCTCTGCTGGCGCTGGGGCCGAGGCTGGGAGAAGGGCTCTCACCGCAGAAAGGGCAAAGTACCCTGCACTGGGGCACCCAACCCCCAGGCTTCTTTGTTGCTAGAGGGCGGCACCAGTTTGTCATCCCTCACACACAAGGGAAAAGTGGGGGTCCGGCAGGGCGTCTGGGGATCAACTTCCCAGGGGCCTGACTGAGTATCCACTTGATCTCAGTTTCTCTGCCCCGCCCCGAGCTGTAAGAGCAAGAAGACATCCTGCACATCAACCAACACGCTTTTATTAAGCACCTACTGTGTACCAGACATGGGGGATACCAAGGAAAAAAATAGTACCTGCCCCTTAAAGAGCTCACCTTATCTCTGGGGAAGCAGCTTTATCCAGAAATGTGTGAAAAATAAATTCAGAGTAAAACAAGGCCATCTGGGGAGGGGAAGGGGGGCGCCGGAACAGGCTCTGCAAGGCAAGGACAGCCAGGAAGGCTTCCTGGAGGTGTCACCAGGGCTGAGCTTTGAAGGAAGCTAAGGACTCCACAAGGAGAAATAAGAAGGGGCTGCAGAGCAGGCACGAGGGCCAGAACCCGCAGTGACAGAGATAGAGGCTGAGGCTCTGTGAAGGAGCACAAGACAGATGGGGACAGGGACTTCGCTGGAGCATTTCTTTCACCTGATTAAAACCTCTGGTCTGAGCAAAGGTCTAAGGGCTTGATCAACACAAAAACGGTCAGAACCCCTGGACCAGAAGGCAGGAGGCAACAAAGGTCGGGAGGGGAAGGAGGGCCAAATCTCGTTGACATTTCGAAAGAAAACGTGACAAGCTTTGACGGCGGACTAGATGCGCTGGCCACTGCCCCCACCCCCAGGAGGGAAGGCAGAGGCAAAGCACGAAGCTAAGGTTAGAGCCTCGAAGAACAGTGGTACCATTCCCAGAACAGGAGGTACCCAAGTATAAACTTCCCCTAGGAAATTGGAGATACTTAGAACTAGGGCTTGAATGAGTGCTCCGAGCTTGATGGGCAGATAGCAGAGGTCAAACCCTTGAAGCAGCAAAGGAAGCTGACTGCTCTTAACAAACGAAAACAGAGGGGAGGCGCAGAGGACCGAGAGGTGATCCTTGGGGAAACAGGAGTGCCAAGACGATCTAGGTCACCAGCCTGGAAGAATCTCCCTTCAAGGTCTGACCTCGAGGAAGTCTGACTGAGGGATAGTGCCCTCTTCGCGGTTTCCTGCCGGGCCTTACCGTGCTGTCTGCCCTCTGGACAGCAGGGCCCGGGTCCTGCAGCTCTTCTTCACCTCGTCGGCTGGACTGGCTGTGGCTGGGGGCCAAAGACGGCTGATTGGGATCACTCTGGAAATAAGAATGTGCTGAATCTGAAGCTGGAGCTACGGGAGATTCCACAGCGGCTTCCTCAAGAATCAAACAGATCAAGTCCCCAGAAACAATCCCATAGGAGGCCAAGGTCTCTTCATCTTCAGCGAGGGTATCCCTGCCGTTCAGTGTTACTGCAAACTGGATGTCAGAACTGCCGAAACAAAATGGACAAGGAGACAGTTAATGCTCTGAGCTTAAATCACGCGTTCACAATCACAGCTAATTTGTGGTATGGTCACAGAAGGCAAACCCAGGGATTAGGTGCTTCCCAAAGCCTTGCTCTTATCACTCAGGACTGTGGCGCTACAGCTATACGGTGCCGCTGATTCTGTCATGGACAACTTTCAGAAAATTCACTTAATCAGTGAAATCACGATGTTAGAGAAGCTGGGGCTATGGGTTCAACGCCTTCACGTACCAGCTTAGTTTCCTCTGTCCCCAAGAACGACTGTGTCTCTAACCTGGCCAGACATTATTTCACAGGTGTATACCATTAATCACAAAGGGGGCTTAGTGTAAAAGAGCAAATGTTGTGAATTCATCATCCCTGTTAGACAAATAACTCCAACCATGGGTCCTGCTGATGGTGAGTCATCTTTAAAAATACAGGAGAAGACAAGACGGCCAGCAACCCTCTCTGGGCCCAGATGCAGGCTCTGTCAGAGACTGAGAATCCCATCACACTTGACCAGACCCTGGGAAGATAACACCAACACTGGTGGGAAGATTAACTTTCAGAAATTATTAGACACTCTACTGAGCATATTTATGATGAGGCAACCAACTTCTATGAGGGTTAACTGGTGACTTAAAAAGTAATTTGTCAGATTCTGGGGAAATTATTGTCCTTCTTCATAGGGCTTCATTCCCCAAAGTGCTTAAGAAAATTACTTTTGAGTTTCCTATTTACATTCCTTTTATTTCAGCAGTTAGAGGGCACTAAATTGTATGGCCAGTGATACAGAAATTTTAGAATGGAATTAAATGGTTGGAAATTACTTCTGGCTGTCAGAAAACAAGTGACTATGCTTCTATCTGCAAAATGCTTCCGTAAACAAAATGCAGAAAACCTGCCAGCTGCTCAAATAATGACGGTGCCAACTTGGGCAGAAACAGGAAAAACATCTCCAAAAGAACCAATGGTCCAATGGACGCCTTTGGATGAACTGTCTTTTTTTGCTCACTGGAAAAGATCAGTGTAGAACAGTACCAACTACAGCAATGATGAGTGGTCACAGCAGGAAACGACTCTTTGCCAGACAGAAATCCCACCCCTCCCCCAGCCCCCCAGCCCCCCAGCCCTGCCCCTTACAGGTAAAACAAGGATCAGTTTTCAGTTCAACAAACACTTACTTTCTGCCCTCAAAGAGCTCACATTTTGCAGTGGGGGTGGGGGGAGATACAACCCATACGTGGATAAATGCAAGATAAGTTAAAGAAGGGGAAAGCACTAACTGTTGGAGGAGGATAAGTCAGGGAAGGAGGGCTGCAGGCTTTTTGTTGCTGAAGGTCTTTGGGGATGATTATTAAAATTGTGTTTCCTAAAAACAAGAATAAGTATTTAAGCTGGAGAAGGGACATGATGATGGGAAAATGCTAATACATCGTAAAGGCTTTTAAGGAGAGATAGCCTTTGCAGGGATTGGGGTGAAGGTTTTTAAGGGTGTGGAACACAATCAAGTTTTTGTTTTTGTTTTTGATGTCTAGACTGATTTTACTGATTCTTTTTCTCTTCTTCCTCTTTTTGTTTTAAAAGATGGCTGTCTGGGAAGAAATCAGGGGAGACATACAAGGGGAAACCTAGGTCATAAAAAAAAGAGAAAGATTAAAAAAATCTAATTTTTAAAAGAGATGGAAATCTAGCTATTCAGGCTTGTTCCAACATAGCTCCATGAGCCTGCAGAACCACACACAACCACAGGATCCTCGCTTTGGAGCTGGAAGGGGCCTCAGGGGCTAGCTAGCACCATATCCTCATTCTACAAATGAGGAAAGTGGGGCCCAGGTAGGAAGAGACAGAGCTGGAAAATGAACCCAGGGCCTCCGCCTCCAAAGGCTGCATCATTCCAACTGCACCACCCTGCGCCCCATCACTATCAGCAGGACCAGAGGCCCTGGCACTCGCTGGAAGGGACCTAGTCTGCCTCCCACATTTCAGATGCTTTAGAAAAGAAAAACAGAACGTATGAAATAGCCTTTTTTGTGTATTCCATTCAATTATTAAGAGGGAAAAATGTGAAAGCATCTTTTCTTTCGGTTTCTTTTCCCTCAATGATTTACAATGATGAAAAAAGAACAGAAAAGTGAAACTAACTGGTTTGTTTACAAGCTTTGGCTGTGAAACCCAATATAGCACTTTCACAATGGCTCTGCCCAATTTCTTCTTAACAAGAGAGTCTAAATATGAAAACATCTGGGGGCACTGACAGCAATAACCAAAAACACATCAAGGAGCGGTGAACCGTCAGTTTATGCTCCTTTTCAAAATACCAAGATCTGTCACTTGAACTTAACAGGTTAGGGGAGCGAAAAATGTACCAGAGCATTTCCCTAATTTGTTTCACTTTTGAAATATTACCGGGATCTGACAAATTAAAACTGCAAAAAGTTCATCACTGAAGTCTCATTTCACTAAGCTCCTTATAAATTATTTGATGTAAATTGCGCTCTCAAATAAGGGGAACATTTCTAAAGTTAACAAAAAGATTTTTAGTTTGTAAGAAACTAGGCACCACTTTCTTTCTTAAAGTTAACAGAACTGGGCACCACTTTTCTCTTAGTTCAAATTTAAAGAGAAGGGATACTGACCCATGCTCTGCTTCTCCACAACAATTACCAACCTCACCTGTACCCCTCTACCTCAAAACTGGAACCCTGCTGCAAACAAGATCCCAGTGGCTTCCAAGTCATTTCTGCACCCAGGTCCCTTAGAGAACCAGCCTCTGAACCAGGAAATTAGAAGACTCTGAAACACCGATTTCTAGGCTTCCTTCGAGCTCGGAGTTTCTCCTGCACAATACCAGCAAGAATTAGATGAATTTCTATCGGCAACATATCCTGCACACCTCAAGCTCAGGTTTTCTCTGCAGTTATACACGTCGATACCATTATGCCTCGGGCTATTTATGGCCTCACGAAAGAGAAGTGACAGAATCCCAGCTTCACTGGACAGGGCAAAGCACAAGCACAGATACACTGTGGTGTGCAACACAGGTCGCATACATGCATGCAGGTGTGCAAAAGGCCCAGGCACAAAGCACAGCGAACCCACACACAAAATTGAGTCCCTACACGCCCGGATGTGCACAAACACTCGAGTGCAAAGCTGCAGGCACACCCACTTGGGCACAAGGTCACTGGCACACGCTCACTTATACGCAAAGTTGAACCTGTGCACACTTGGGCACAAAGTCACCAGCAAACACCGCAGCATGCACAAACATCCCCATGAAAATTGGAGCGCCTACGTGCCCAGGCGTGCACAGACCTGCACACCCACGTGGGCGCACTCAGAAGCGTCCAAGCGCCCAGATGCAAAGCTGTACCTACACACTTAAGTGTGCACAAGTCCAGGAGTGCAAATCCCTGGCACACGCTCAGTGTATGATTAGGTCCCGGATGCCAAGCTGCACGCGCTCGCACACGCACACAAGACAGTCGGGGGTGCACACACCCAAGCCCGGGTGCCCCCGACCCCGTCCAGTTTCCCCCCCCCAACCCGGGCCTGGCTGACTCTCCTGCCCCGCGCCCCCAGCCACAAACATCCCCGCGCATGCGCCCCTTCCTCTCTCACGCCCGCTCCGGCCGCGAGCGGCCCCGCGCATGCGCCCCTTCCTCCCTCTCCGCTCCCCTCCCCTCCCCGGCGGTGGCCGCGGCAGCACCTGTAGCCCCAGGCGGGGAGCAAGGCCTGGCGCAGGTGCGCGCGCAGCTCCCCGAGCGTCGGCTCCGCGCCCGGCAGCTCCAGCGCAGCCGTCCGCTTCCGGACGCGGACCCGCAGCTTCATGGCGCGGGGGGCCCCTTCTCACTCCTCGGACCGCCGCGGGGCCGGGACAGAGACAGGGACCGGGACACCACCGCCGCCGCCGCCTCCTCTTCAGCCGCTTCGTCCGCCGCCCGCCTCGGTCCGGGGCACGGGAGCTCCGCCCTGCCCCCGCCCCCTCCCATGAGGGCGCCCCCTGCTGTCGGGCCACCGACCCCGGGCGCCGAGGGGAGTGGCGGGGCCGTAGCGGCCGCGCCCCCGAGAGCGCGCGGGCGGGCGGCCGAGCGACGCCGCTGGGCTGCGTGCGCGCCCCCGAGAGCGGGCGGGAGGGGATGGAGCGCCACCTCCACCCGCAACCCCACCTTCCCCCTTTGGAGCGCAGTGCGCAGGCGCGAGCCGCTCGCTGCTGGTCCACAGGGATGCTCTGAGCCCAGAGTCCCGGCCATCCTGTATCCAAGCTCGAATCCCCGCTAGCGTCCCCGCCATGTGGGCGTACAGCCTGGTCCTGAGGGGAACGCCATCGCTGACTTTGGAGTCAGAGGGCAAGGGCTGTCTTCGCCTCTTTTTGTATCCCCAGGACTTAGCACAGTGCTTGGCTTATAGGAGGCGCTTAATAATTGTTCGTTGCATAGAGAACTCAGGTTCAAATCCCACCTCTGACGCCCCCTAAGGCATCTAGGTGGCTCAGAAGACCCGAGTTCAAACCCAGCCTCACATATCGGCTTGTATGGCCCTGAACAAGTCATTTAACCTCTTTCTGCTTCAGTTTCTTTAACCTGTAAAAAAGGGGTGCTATTGGCACCTCCCTCCCAGGGTTGTTTCGGGGAGCAAGTGAGATCATATTTATAAAATGCTTTGCAACCCTTAAGCTATATACATGTTACATGTTATTATTCACCTCTAAGTTTCAGTTTCCTGGTTTGTTAATGAAGACATTGGATTAAAATTATTAAATTTACAAGGTCCCATCCAGTGCCAAATCTATGACTTCACAAGAGAACCCATTTCTACTTTGGACAGTTGTAATCAGGGAGGGGGCTCAGGAAAGGCATCTTGAAGAAGGTGGTATTGAAGGGAGCCCTATAAAATGGTGTGGGAGCTGGGTTTGGAGATTATCGTATTTAGCTTAGAGGAGAGAAGACTTAGGGGGCATATGATAACTGTCTTAAATCAATGGCAGATGATAACTGTCTTAAATCAATCAACAAGAATTTTTTTTGTAATGTTTTTATTCTAAACCTATAGACCAAAAAAGAGCACTTCTGTACTCATAGCAGGACGACCCCCCAAAAATTCCATATGAAACCATAAATCTACATTTCACACTGCTTACTTTTCTTAGAATATACAGGGAGTCTCCCAGCTGTAATTGGTCCAGCCCCTCTGGAAAGCAATTTGAAACTATGTCCCTAAACTACTCATATCTTCTGACCCATCAGAACCAATACTAGGACTATATTTCAGAGAAAGAGGGAAAGGGTCCATATGTACAGAAATATTCATAGCAGTCTTTTTCATGGTGGCAAAAACTGGAAATTAAGGGTATGCCCATCAATAGGGAAATGGCTAAACAAATTAGAATATATGAATGTAGTGGAATATTATTGTGCTATAATAAATGATGAAAAATATGGTTTTAGAGAAACCTGTAAACACATCTTAGAAATGATGAAGAGTGAAGTGAGTAGAACCAGGAGAACAATTTATAAAATAGTAACTCTGTTGTCTTAGTTTTGAAAGATTTAACAACATTGATTGTGTCCAGGGGACTTAGGATGAAGCATATTAGCTATCTCCTGATAAAAGGGCGATGGACTCAAGGTGCAGAATGAAACACATTTTCAGACTTGGAAAATGTGGGGATTTGTTTTGTTTAATTATGCTTATTTATTATAAGGATTGTGTTTATTTGGGGGAAGGGCTGAAGGAGAAAGGGAGAGCTAGTGATAGGATTCCCCCAACAAATGTCATTGCAGCATTTTTAGATGTGCAGAAGAGAGTAGAAGGAAGTTCAGAAGGAAACATAGGTAAGTAGGACAGCTTTGAAAGTAACATACTGAAATGATTACATACAAAAGAAAGTTTTCACATATAATCTTTTCTCAAATCTTCGTATACAAAAGTGTTCTTTTTTGGTATTTGCTAAATTCAGGAAATAAAAAGAATTTTATTTAAAAATTAGGGTAGCAAAGTTAAGAATAGAGATTTAGTTATTGTAATAAGATTTCCCTGCGTTTTATGTTGTCCTGTATCCACATTAGAGTAAAAACCATTGTAATAAAATTTCTACCTATAGGTGGCAATACCTGCATTGTCCGCTTTTCTAGTGCTGTCCTTGATTCCACTTAAAAAACAAATGCACAGGATAAGGAGTGTAATTTGCAGCTAACAAGGAGAGTGTAATTTAAAGCTATGATAACAATATATTACATTAATATTATCAATTACATTATTGCAATATTATTGTATTATGTTTTATATTTCTATACTATATAGATTTCTATTATGTTATATACTTATTATTGCATTAATAAATTATTGATAATAATAAAGATCATAGTAATAATTGCTATTATTTATATCACACCTACTATGGGTCAGGCACTGTGCTAAGCAGTTTTACAAATATTATGTCATTTGAGCCTGCCAACAACCTAGCAAGTAGGTACTATTATTTAATCCCCATTTTGCGGTTAAGGAGGAACTAAATTTGGAAGTTAAAATCACACATAAATTTATCATTTAGTTGAAAAATTAACTACACACACAATAACTGATGATCGGCTTCACTTCAAAGTCCCCCCTTTTTGCTTCTTTCTCCCAAAGCCTAGTGAGGTGGAATGGTGACATGCCAGGCGAGACTCGGAATCTAACAACTGGTGTTGAAGTGTTTCCACTTCAACTTGTTTGTGTGACCTTGGGTAAGTCAACTGACTTCTCAGAGCCTGCATTTCTTCAGCCTCGACTTACTCCACAGGATTGTTGTGAATATCGAATGAAATGAATTTGTAAAGCACCATATACATATGAGTGAATGTTATTAATATTCCAAAACGTTCCAGAGTTACTCTGGGTACCTTTCTAGAGCTGGAAGCTACCTTAGCAAGTATCTACCATTATGCCCCCCTCCCCCATTTTACACATAAGGAAACAAAGGCCCAGAGAGATTGAGTGATGATGAAGGTTACACAGCTAATAAGGGGCAGAGTCAGGATTCAAATACAGGCCTTCCCAGTTCAGATCCAGTGTTTTCCCCGCTGCTTATCTCTGTCTTAGGACTTAACCTTTGATATCAGTTCAAAGAGTAAATCCCAGAGAACCAAATCAGGTTCTTCCACTCAGATCAACCAGATAAGCATTGTGATAGATAAGTTTTTAAAAATGTGTATTCCCAGTTCCAAATTCTTTCTCTCCCTCAACCCTGCCCCATGTCCTTTGAGAAGACAAGAAATACAATGCCTGTTATACACATGAAGTCATGTAAAACATATTTCCACATTAGCCGTGTCCCAAAAAAAGGAAAGAAAGAAAAAATAGGCTTCAATCTGTACCCTGAGTTCATCAGTTCTCTCTCTGGAAGTGGACAGCGTTTTACACCTGAGTCCTTTGGAGCGGAGGCAGATCATTGCACTGATCTGAATTACTAAATCATTCACACTTGATTAGGTTTACATTATTGCTATTACTGTGTAAAGTGTTCTCCTGGTTCTGCTCACTTCTCTTTGCATCAATTCATATAAGGCTTCCCAGGTTTTTCTGAAGCCATCCCCTTCATCATTTCTCATAATACAACTTATTCAGTCATTCCCCAACTGATCAACATCCCCTAAGTTTCCAATTCTTTGCCACCACAAAAAGAGCTGATTAAAAAAAAAATTATACATACAGGACCTTTTCCTTTTTCTTTGATCTCTTTGGGATACAGACCTAGTAGTGGTATTGCTGGGTCAAATGGTATGCACAGTTTTCTAGCCCTTTGGGCATAGTTCCAAATCATTCCTCAGAATGGTTGGATCAGTTCACAACTCTATCAGCAGTGCATTAGGGCCCCGTCTAGCATCTATCATTTTCCTCTTCTGTCATCTTAGCTAATCTGATGGGTATGAGGTAGTACCCTAGAATTATTTTAATTTTCATTTCTCTAATCAATAGTGATTAGAGCATTTTTTTCATGTGTTTTGATTTCCTTTGGGAACTGTCTGTTCATATCCTTTGACCTTTTATCAGTTGGGGACAACAAAAAGATCCCCAACCTTTAGAGCTTACTCTTAGGTAGGATTCAGGCACATTATGTTTCTGTGGGCTAGTATAACCAATGTCTTCACTCTGTTTCCAGCAGGAACAGTGTTCCATTAAGTTTGCATCAAAGGCTTCTTTTCCTCCAGCTACAGAGTAGGCTGACTTAAAGAAGAGTGAGGAGATCCCATTGGAGAACAGGATACTCATTAACCCGTGCACATTAGACACTAACTTGATTTAAGGTAGGATGAAAGATAAATTCCATCCTTCCCATACCACCCATACTTCAAAGCCCGGTAAGAAATCCCTGCAGCCTCCTTGCACACTTTTAAAAGGATGCAGTTGAAGGGAAGAGCATTTCTTGGGCACAAATTCCTTCCTGTCTAGGTTACTGAATTTGCTCAGACTGTCCTCTGTACCAAGAGGGAATACTAGCCATCATTTCCATGGTGCTTTCAGAATACTGTCTCATTCTATCTTCTATCTACTGTGCCACTTAGAAAAAATAAGAGTTTTTCTCTTTCATTCTGATTCTCCTTTCACAACATGTCTAATGTGGAAACATGCTTAATATAATTGTACATGTATATCCTATATCAGATTGCATGCTGTCTTGAGGAGGGGACAGGAGAGGGACAGAGGGAGAAAAAAATTTGAAACTCAAGACCTTATGGAAGTGAATGTTGAAAACTACGTGTAATTGGAAAAAATAAAATACCATTAAGTGGGGAAAAAGGAGAAATAATAATAGCTAGCCTGTGCATAATGTTTGAAGGTCTGCAAAGTGCTTTACAAAGATCTCATTTGATCCTCACAGCAACACTGGGAGGTAGGTGCTATGATTATCCCCATTTTACCAATAAGGAAACTGAGGCAGACAGAAGTGAAAT